TGGGGGGGGGGGCCTTCATGGTTTCTTGCATCGGGGCCCTGAAGGTTCTAGTTACGCCTCTGCAATTAGATGTCCCCATTGTATGATCAGATACCCCATTGTATGATCAGACCCCCATTGTATGATCAGATGCCCCCATTGTACGATTAGATGTCCCCATTGTACGATTAGATGTCCCCATTGTATGATCAGATACCCCCATTGTATGATCAGATGCCCCCATTGTACGATTAGATGTCCCCATTGTACGATTAGATGTCCCCATTGTATGATAAGATTTCCCCATTGTACGATCAGATGTCCCCATTGTACGATTAGATGTCCCCATTGTACGATTAGATGTCCCCATTGCACGATCAGATGTCCCCATTGTACAATCAGATACCCCCGTTGTATGATAAAATGTCCCTATTGTAAGATAAGATGTCCCTATTGTAAGATAAGATGTCCCCATTGCATAATTAGATGTCGCCATCTTACAATAAGATGTCACCATATACATAAGTCTCCATTATAAGATAAGATGCCCCCATTGTACAACCCCAATTCAGAAAAAATGTGGACGCTGTATAAAATCTACATAATAACAGAATTAAATGATCTACAAATCTCATTATTTATGCACAATAAAAAAAGAAGACATATCAAATGTTTAAACTGAGAAAATGTGCCATTTTGAGGAAAACAAGGTCATTTTGGAATTGATGGCAGCAACCCTTGTCAAAAAAGTTGGGACAGGGCCATGTTTATCATGGTGTAGCATCCCCTCTTCTTTTAAAGGAGAACTATGGGGTCAGTGCTTTTCCCCATAGTTCTCCTAAGGGTAACGGGAGGACACAAACTAGTGTCCTCCCATCACCCTAAGCTCAGTATACCGCGAGCTACAGCTCGCAGTATACTGAGGCGCCGCAGCCGGGACGGATCCCGACATTACTGTCTGGATCCACCCAGCTGCGTGAGTGACAGCTGGCTCTGCCTATCTAGAGGCAGAGCCAGCTGTAAACCCCCCCCGTCCGTCCGTTCCGCCAGTCAGCGCTGGAGGATCGGACAGGGGAGGGGGGGAATCCCTGCAGGGAGCTGTGAGTGACAGTCCCGTCTCTCTGCAGGGAAACGATCGCCGGTAGGTGTTCGCTCACTTCCCGATCTATTGAGCCGACCTGTGACAGTTTCGTTGTCACAGGTTGGCTCGAACTTCACTCACTTCATAGTTCTCCTCTAACAACACTCTGTAAACGTCTTGGAACTGACGAGACCAGTTGCTGGAGTTTTGGGAGAGGAATGTTGCCCCATTCTTGCCTGATATAGGATTCTAATTGCTCAACAGCCCTGGGTCTTCTTTGTCATATTTTTTGTTTCAAGATGCTCCAAATATTTTCAATTGGTGAAAGGTCTGGCCTGCAGGTAGGTCAGTTAAGCACCCGGACTCTTCTACTACGAAGCCATGCTGTTCTCATAGATGCAGTATGCGGTTTGTCCTGCTGAAATATGCAAGGACTTCTGGATGAGAGCATATGCTGCTCTAAAATCTGGATCTAACTTTCAGCATTGATTGTGCCTTTCCAGACGTGCAAGCTGCCCATTCCATACGCACTAATGCAACCCTATACCATCAGAGATGCAGGTTTATGAACTGAGCGCTGCTAACAAGCCAGAATGTCCCTCTCTTCTTTAGTCCGGAGGATGCAGCGCCCATGGTTGCCAAAAAGATTTTTGCCAATTTTTAGATGCCGCTTTTCACATATTGGTGAACCTCTGCCCATCTTTACTTCTGAGACACTCTGACTTTCTAAAGGTGCCCATACACTGCTCGATTCTCGTACAAGAATTGGGCGAAATCCCGCGATCGTACGAGAATCGAGCAGTGTGAACGAAGACGTGTGACCGTGTCTACTGTAGGTTCGCACGTCTTTTGTCGAACCAACATGCTCGAAAACCCGCCGAGAATCGTACGATTGTCGGCGGATTTCTAGCCTGCTCGTCCGATAGCTGCGGAACGGGCCGGTGTGCGCACGCGGGGCGGGCTTTCGATGATCGCAAGTACGATCTGCCCGTCCAAGGTGGGCAGATCGTACGAGCTTTCAATAAGCATACGACCATCGCAAGACAAAAGTCTTGCGATGGTCGTAAGGTGTATGGGCACCTTTAGATGCTCTTTTTATAACCAATCATGTTACTGACCTGTTGCCAATTAACCTAATTATTTGAAAATGTTCTTCCAGCTCTTTCTTGTTAGTACCACTTATTTTGCCAGCTTTTTGTTGCCGGGTCTCAACTTTTTTGAGACGTTTTGCCGCCATAAATTTTAAAACGACCTTATTTTTTTCTTAAAATGGTTTATTTTCTCAGTTTAAGCATCTCATATGTTTTCTATTTTCTATTGTGAATAAAATATTTTTATGAGATTTACAAATAATTGCATTCGTTTTTTATGCAAATTTTACACAGCGTCCTAACTTTTTTGAAATTGGGGTTGAATGATCAGATGGCTCCATTGTATGATACGATGTCACCATATACATAAGTCTATTATATGTACGATGTCCTCATATATATATATATATAAGCTGCCATTGTAGAGTAAGATGCCCCAATTGTACAATAAGATGTCCCCCTGTACATAAGTCCCCATTGTATGAAAAGATGCCCCCGTTGTATGATAACATGTCCCCATATACATAAGTCCCCATTGTATGATAACATGTTCCCATATACTTACGTCCCCATTGTATGATAACATGTCCCCATTTTATGATAACATATATACATAAGTCCCCATTGTATGATAAGATGCCCCCGTTATATGATAAGATGTCCCCAAATACATAAGTCCCCATTGTATGATAAGATGTCCCCATTGTATGATAAGATGTCTCTATATACATAAGTCCCCACTGTATGATAAGATGTCCCCATTGTATGATAACATGTCCCCATATACATAAGTCCCCATTTTATGATAAGATGCCCCTGTTGTATGATAACATGTCCCCAAATACATAAGTCCCCATTGTATGATAACATGTCCATATATATATATATATGTCCACATTGTATGATAAGATGCCCCCATTGTATGATAACATGTCCCGATATACATAAGTTCCCATTGTATGATAAGATGCCCCCATTGTATGATAACATGTCCCCATATACATAAGTCCCCATTGTATGATAAGATGCTCCATTGTATGATAACATGACCCCATATACATAAGTCCCCATTGTATGATAAGATGCCCCCCATTGTATGATAAGATGTCCCTATAGACATAAGTCCACATTGTATGATAAGATACCCCCATTGTATGATAAGATGTCCCCATCGTACGATATCATGTCCCTATATACATAAGTCCCAATTGTATGATAAGATACCCTCATTGTATGATACCATGTCCCCATTGTATGATAAGATGTCCCCATTGTACGATAACATGACCCCAAATACATAAGTCCCCATTGTAT